AGCTGCTCCCCTGGCTGGTGTCATAGCACAGGCAGCAGTGCTGTTCCCTCTTCTCCTGCCACTGCTGCTGGTGTAGGGGGTTGAAGCTACCCCTCAGCTCCCAGACCCCTTTGTTCGCAGAGCCAGTAAGAGCTGCAGGAGTGGAGGACCCCACTCTATGCCCAGCGGAGCCCTTGGGATACAGGGGGACCACAAAGCCCTCCTGGCACAGATACCCATTTTCTGAACTCAGAGGTTTCCGCCTGTCTGCACACAGCCCCTAGCTCCCTATGGCCTCACTCAGCCCCTAGCTCCCTCCCTCCCTGCTCCCTGAGCTTCCCCTTCACCACGCACAAACCTTAGCTGCTCCCTCTGGTGGGGTGAACACAAAACATTACTGAATTTTCTTCCCTACCATGTGAAACTTCTGACAAGCAGTGCAGAATTCTTTATCAATTGATTGAGAAGCATTCTCTTAGTGAAACAAAATGCAGGGCTATGTAGCACTTTAAAGACTAACAAGATGGTTTATTAGGTGATGAGCTTTCGTGGGCCAGACCCACTCCCTCAGATCAAATAGTGGAAGAAAATGGGCTGTGTGCAGACAATGCCAATAGAAATTCCGATGGTGCTAAACATGCTGGAAAAAACAACTTGTGCTGATGTCAATGTGTAGATGACTACATGATTAACAGATAAACCCTCCCCTTTGCTGCCGAGGAGGTGGGAGCCGGTGCCAGTGAGGAGCTGGCAAAAGCCAGCTCCCCATGAACACCAGTCCTGTGGAGCTGCCTGCCTCCTTCTATCTCTGCACTGCTACCTCTATCAGAAGCAGCAGCAGGGGGTGGGGAGAGGGGCAAGGGAGGCTGCCACAGAGCAGCCTCTGTCCCTGGCGGGCCTGGGAGCGCAAGGGCCGGGAGCCAGCAGTGAGATCCCGCGTAGTCTGAGTATCTGGCAAAGCGTTAGGTTAACTGGACATTTGACCGGTTAATGGGTATTTTGCAGCCCTCCCATGGCTGCTCTGGGCGAATGAATCGCAGGCTGCCCAAGGGGGTGAGAACGCTGGGTTACCACAGCCCAGGAGCAGTTACAATTACAGGTGTCTGCTCCCCCAGACCCAGGGCTCCCTTGTCCCTCGCCCGTCTCCAGCCACATCACAGCCGCCCTGCCCAGTTAATGAGGCTGAACTGGTGTGAGGCCTTTGCTGTGAGGGAGGCCCCCTGGGAGCCTGGGGAGAGGAGAGTGTGGATCTGGTTCCTGGCCAGTGTTTGGGTCTGGGGTGTGGTGCAGCGATGTTCTCGCCCCAGCTCCTCGCACTCACCAGCTGGAGGGACATGACACCTGAGCTAACACACTGGGGAGGAGACCCCCTGAGTGGCTGCAGGAGGCAGAGCCTTTCTCGGAGCCGGGCATCTCTGCTCCCACGGTGCCTTTGGGGCTGGCAGAGCCGAGCGGCTGCCTCCTTCCAGGCCGGGTCCCTGCATGTGCATGAAAGGCCGGTGTGTACGGCGCTCGCCGCCTGTCGGACAGGCAGATAACGGCTGTTTGTCGCCCACAATGCCCTGCAGGAGAAACTCCAGGGGACCCTGGGCCCGCTCAGGGAGGAGCTGGAGGAGGCCGTGGTGCTGAGAACTGAAGAGGAGGAGAAAACCACAGAGTGGCAGGTGGGTGTCTGGGTTTCTCTCCCGGAGCCCTTCCCCCAGCAGCGCTCCCAGAGGTGAGAGGCCATGAAGCTCTAGGGCTCGGGTGTGAAGCTTCTCTGGTTCCTTGCCCCGTGACACAGGAGTGGTGCCAGCAGCATCAGGATGTGTCGCTGGTGGGGGTCTGAGCGCAGCAGCTCCTGACCCTGGTGGGGTGATGCAGACCCACTCCTGTGCGCTCTGATAGGGACACACTCGCAACAGTGGGCGCAGTGTTTTCATTATATCACGGATCTCACTTCACTCCCGCAGGTGGGGGGGCACAGAGGCTATTGCAGCTAGTGGGGCTCAGGGGCCTCTAGGGGGGCACAGAGGCTGTTGCAGCCAGTGGGGTTCAGGGGCCTCTATGAAATAGCTCCACGGTGTCTTTGAGGCCTGGAGGACACAGGGGTTGTTCCTTTCCCCTCCTCCACCCACAATGTCTGTAGTGCATCTGCCCAGGGCCAGACACTAGAGCTGGGCGGAGGATTTGCCCCCGAGAGAGGTTCAAAATCACTCAGCCAGTTGTCTGGGGCATGCTGGGAGCTGAGCTCTTCTGAGCATTGAACCCAGCTATGGCTCTTCATGGCATGGAAGAATCTTACAAATTCAAGGAGTGAACTTGGATGATCACAACAGCGGAGAGATTTGGAAACGCTGCAGAAGGACTTTAAAAAAAAATGCTGCAGAAGCATTAAGTCCACTTAGCGCACAATATGACAAACTGCCTTGGGCTCTGAGCGCTAGAGAGCTTACGAGGCAGGTTGGACATTGCTGGTTTCCTACCACACAGTCTAAAGAGTCAGGAGGAAAAGGAAAGGATGCAGCAGGCTGGGAATAAGGGCCTGACGGGCTCGGATCTGTCATAGAATCAGAGCTGGAAGAGACCTCAGCTCATTGTGTCTGACATAGGAGTGATGCCTTCAGGAGGAGGAGAAGCCCTGTCTGTGCTCCTGAGTGCTGGTCAAGCGCGTTGTGGAGCCGCAGCCGGACTCACTCGTGCTTTGCCGGGACTGTGCATGGGACAGGCAGTGCCCTGGGATCTGCATGTGCCTGGGTCAGTCCCGCTCCCCACTGAACGATTCTTTCCCCCCTCAATTCTCCCCCAGCCGAGCCCTGCTCCCCCCAACC